TTTTTTTTTTTTTTTTTTTTTTGAGACAGGGTCTCACTATGTAGTTGAGACTGACCTGGAACTCACTATGTAGCCCAGGCTGGTCTCGAACTCACAATGATCCTCCTGCCTCAGCCTCTTGAGTGCTGGGATTACAGCTGTGCTCCACCATGCCCAGCTTACATTTCTTGATTTTTTAAAATAAATACAATTTACTTTATCCCATTTCCCCCTCTACTAAACCCCCATTTCTTTAAAACTATAAAAGATCTTGTGTTTATTATTTGTTCAGCCATGTACTTTCAAGAGAAAAATTAGACTCCAAATATTTTATGGCATAATCTAAAGTGTTTAATTACATAATGAATCTGTGTAAATTATCCTCAGGTCCTATCGATGACCCTAAATTGCAAACAGCGCCCCTTCCTACTCAGCATCCTATAATGGAGTGGAGATAACAAGGCATGGTGGCATATGCCTGTAGCTCCAGCTATCACGAGGCCCATGGTAGAAGGGTCCCTTGAGTCCAGGAGAAGAAAACCAGTATAGGCAACAGAGTGCTGCTGTCTCAAAAACAAAAAAGAGAATTCCAAATAATATAATATATTTATCTTTCCTTTTGCATCTTACACAGTCCAATGAAAATACTTCCCATTAGTTACACTTCTCGTTATAGAAAACACTGGGCTGAGGGATAGAAAAGACAAGGTACGTAGTGTTAAAAAGTTAAAAAGTGTAGCAATTTATGTTCTTCCACATTCTGCTGTACGTACTGATATATTGCGAAGATGCCAAGTATGTGGTAACTTCTTTCTGTAAGATTGTTAAACAAAATTTTAAGAATGCAACTTCTAAATCTGATGCAGTGATCTAGATTCTAATTAACATATATTCTTTTATGATAAATATTATGGTCACAGCTGTACCTGCCTTTCAAAAGGCATTCTGACATTCAAAAAAGGAAAACACGAGGGATTATGAAAAGCAAGGCCAGGCATGGTGGCACACGCCTATGATCCCAGCACTCAGAAGGCTGCGGCAGTTGAATCTCCATCAGTTGGAGGCCAGCCTTGGTCACATAGTGAGTTCAAGGCCAGCCTGACCTACATAGCAAGGCCCTGTCTCAACAAAACAAAACAAACAAACAAAAAACAACAAAATAAAGACCCAAGACAAAACAAAAAAGCAAATTGTAATTTAAAAGGAGTTTTTAAAAAAATTTTTTGAGGGAAAGACGAAACAGTTCATACTAGCAAAGGAGACCACAGTCTTCAAGTTTAACAAAGGGAGCTAACCTAACTTGTATGGGAGTGTCTTAGGAAGACGTTCACTGAGCCTCAGTTTCCTTCTCTATAAAATGTCGATAGCAGCCATCTCTCATGAAAAGTGTGAGTGTGAAATGGATCTATGCCTCTGGAGTGCACAACCACATACCCAGCATGAAGAGTGTGTAGAAGATGGCAAGCACAGCTCATGGATGAATGGTTGAATTTGTCCGTTTTTCCAAATTAAGAACATCACATATAAACTTTAGTGCAATATATCCAACCCCCCAAAAACGTATTTAGTCATTTTTATCCTGTTGTCCACTGTGACATGAGATGAACTGAAATACAGATGAAGAGGAGTGAAAGGTATGGTAAAGCCCAGAGACTGAGGACACAGCCTATAAACTGATTTGCTTCTCAGTCATAGAACCTTTTAATAATCTGTTGGAAACCAACAATCTTTTCCCTAGGAAACAAAAGGTACATACATATCCACAAAATTATGCAGAATAATCTCAAGGAAGTCATGTCCTTAGGTTAACAACCCCTGCATTGACTAAAAAGGTGCATAGAAAACAAGCATGGTGGTGCACACCTGTTTCCCAGCACTCTGGGAGGCTGAGTAGGATCATAAGTTTTTGCCCAGCCTGAGCAACTTAATGGCTTAGTGAGACCCTGTCTTGATATAAAAAAGTTTTTAAAAAGGGTTGGGGATGTAGGTCAGTGACAAGGTCCTGTGTTTCATCCCCAGTACCACTACCAACACCACAACGAAGAAGTACATGCATAAAGCCTTGAGAAAACATGCTGAAATTCATACTTTGCATGTGTATTTGTAAATTTTAATTTTCACATTGAACTATGAAATACATGTAAGGCTCCAAATTTTCCTTTTAAATCATAAAATGTAATAAACTCCTTTGAAAAAAACGGATCCACTGATCACTATTTCCTGCCAGCACTTATATATTCATTCCTCATCCAATATTTTTAAGTATGAGGATTTCTGTGCATTTCCTTCTCCTCAGTAGTCTATCAGCTCCTTGAGGGTAGAGGCTATGCACGTGCTATGCAACTAAAATAGAAAACAGATCTGCCTTTACTGCATGCACATTTCTAATGCAGCTCCCTGCCCTAGTTTGTCAGAATGATGTTATAAAATGTCCAAGAAATCTACCACTTTCCTTTTTATTTGCCAGGAAGTTGTAAGAGCTACTGAAAAGCCCCAAGTGCTGTTCTCTGCAGATCTCCTGAAGCACCCACAGCAATGGCTTCCAATCTAAGCGATAGGGCTCCCTGGAGGTAGATTCTAGTAAGTAATACGGCAAAGGGGAAGTAAAGTTTCCTAAGTACAATGTTTTATAGCATTTCAATCATCATTTTCCTTCACTGCACTCTACCACTTCAGTATTCATTACAGGTAGGAGCATTCTGGCAATGCCAGGGACCTTGCTGGTTTCTAAGAGCCTCTGAGTTAGGAACTCTAGAGGCAGCTTTCTCACTACTCTGACCATTTATTCTTGAGAGTGAAAATAAACAGTAAGTGGCTAACTTCTCAGTATTTCCCATCTCTGTTCTGACAAAATGGGAAAGGTGGCCTATGGGATGTGATCACTTGGCCTTTGATGAAACAACAGAGAAATGGAAATCAGGAAGGGTTCTCTAGAGGCCCCCAGAGCGCCTGCTGCTCTCCCACACAGAGTGACCCTGACTTGCAGTGAGGACCGTGGCTCCGCAGGAAATACAGGGTCTCTGGAGCACTGTTGCCTTTGCTTTAAATCACTTTCTATTTCTCTCAGTGATCTCACAGGTAAAATTCTACCGTAGCATCTCCCTTCTTTAGTTCAAACTATGGTCTCCAGATAACATAAAGCAAAGATCCGAACCATTCTGGTGGGGCAGTTTTTACAGCTCTGGCAGGCCATGTAGAGGGCGACAAAAGGAGAAGTAAGAAAAACAGACAACTTCACATACAAGTTTTAAACCCACTAGGAAGAGCACATTTCTTTCTAATTAGGAGTTTGGGAACTTTAAAGACACACAAATGTTAAAATTCCACAACTTTCTCTTGACAACTTATTCCAAGTGAAAAACATAAATAACAAGTTTACAAGGATTTTTAGGTTAAATTTTTTGATTTATAGATATGCTAATCGGATGTGTATGACTTTACTGCTACCAGCAATGATATTGATATTCCACAGGAACAAGTGAGGATGACTAGTATTTCATACACTGCCTCTTCATCAGATATTATCTCAGCTGCCTAAGCCTCTAAACAATGACTATATTATGATTAAAAAAAGGGATAGATACGTCTTTCTCAATTTATTTTGTATTCTCTCATTTAGGGTTTTCTAACTTACAGTTTCAAATAACATAGATATTCTGCAAGGCAGATCAAACTAACACAAAAGCTAAAATAAAGATAACGATGGTATTTTCCTACTGATAGAAAAATTCTGACAAAATGCTATCTCTATTTTTCTTAAACCTTTGCCACCTAGAAAAGTTGCATGTGTACGCTCACATGTGTGTATGCATGCATGTGTGTGCATGTGTGTGCATGTGTATGTGTGTGTTTTGTTTTGGGTACTGGAGACTAAACCCAGGGCCTCATGTGTGCTAAGCACAAGCTCTACCACTAAGCTATATCGTGATCCCAAAAGGTATATTTTAGTTTATATAAAACACAACCTAATTTTGTGCAAGAAGTAACATGTACTTACTTTCTAAATATACCCATATTCCATAGGATTTTGCTCAGTTAGGTAGAGAATGATACTGTATCTACCATCATGATTGATTTCTTCATAAAAGCTCTCCTGTGACAGTAGTGCCCTGATATTCATTCAAGACTTTCCACAATGTGGTCCCAAACTATGAATCCAAATACTCACACAATAGCCATTTCTAAAAGGGAGTAAGACTCAGTCCCTTTCCTTAAGGAAATTCATCCTAATTCAAGAGGCAGTTGAGTTAACAGGTAATTTGAGTATACTATGAATAGTATTATAACATTTACAAGCAAAAGGTATTAAGATAGATCTTAACAGAGGTACTTAACCCTACCTTTAGGGATATAAGAAGGGTTCCAGGGAAAGTAATCTCTATGTAGAACCTAAAGAATAAGCAGGAATTAGCCAATGAGAGGTGAGGACAATAGAAAGACTATATTCCAGGCAGAGGGAATAGCATGTGTAAGACCAGGAAATGAGAAGATGGAAAGACCAGGGAATATACACACTTCAGCATAGGTGGACATGAAAACCAATTTACTCAACTTACAGGAGTATCTATTCTTAGTAGAGTCTTACTACTTTTTTGATAAGGCTGTGTACTTATTACCATTTTGGTGAATAAAAGGGATTTAAAATAAAAATATGTGTACAGTGGTATTTTCTAATATTTGTATTATGTAAAATTTAAAAATCAGAAATACTACTAAATGCTCTCAAATTTGATTTTTGGAAATTCTACTGGCTCATAAT